TTTTTTCCAAATTTGTAGTGAAAAAGTAGAGAGGAGGCGTAGACGACTATAACTAACTCCGTAGGAGTGGGAAAGGAATTGAAATGGCCGTCGGACGAAAGTGCCGTTTTCAATATTAAATTTCGCTCCTCACATTCGGTTATATTTATGTGAATTATGGATCGGTGATCCAGCAATATAAATAATTATAGATGCGTAGCATCTGCTTCAAGATTTGGCATTCAAAATATGCAAGATAAACAATATGGGATGCCTCTGGGAAAATGAAGTACAGATGACCGTATAGCTATTGTTTATGCGGATTAATTCATTTGCGTGACAATTGCGGAATGGTGTCACGTTTTATGGAAAATGATGGCAGATTTTCTGCAATTGTCGGCAGAACCAGAGCATTAGTTTTCATTGTCGGCGTAGCATCCAATGGAGAACTGATACGAACGGGAAATTTGTGAAACGGAACCACTAACCCCCGAGATTGAAGCTTGTCTTTTTTGTATGTGTTCATAAACAAAAGGTGCTTCTGAAACAGGATCTATTAAGGCTCTAGCTGGGTACGTAGTACCGTTGTGCACAATATGCACCATAGCTGTGCCTAACAATATTTTTCTGCTCTGGGTGGAATGAAATACCTGTCGGTTTGAAGACCCTGATATAGTATTGGTAGAAGTAGTAGGTAGAATTACTTGATCTAGACTTCTAACATTTGAAGTCGTCGGAGACGATTGAGGCGTGGCCTCGATGTGTAACAGCGTGTGATGCCGTTTATTGCATATAGTGCAGTTGTAAATGCTGTTGCATTTTGAAGATTCATGTCCGTGAGACAAACAATTAAGACAACAGAAGTGTTTCTTAACTGTGCGGATTCTTTCAGGAACTGAAAGTCTAAGGAATTTATGACAAACTCTTAGATGATGCCTTTGTCGTGAACAAAGCGCGCACGATTTAGGCGAGGATGTACGAGGTAACTTAAAGAAATGAGGGACACTTTGGGCCGTGACGGAATTTGATGTATTCGTTGCAGCATTCGTAGAAAGGGAACGTTTATCATTGTTTAGAAGTTCGACGTAATCGATGCCCCTAATGTCACGTAAGCAGGTCAGAGTTTGGATCCTTTCTATATGAAAGTGATCCAAATCTTTCCACGTAGACAAAGTAGATTTGTTCTTTATGCTTTGTTCCCAAAGCACCACGCAGTTCTTAGGTAACCTCTGAAAACACAGGAAAACTAGAATAGGATCCCAGTCTTTTGTCGACACATCATAATTAGACATGGACGAAATACACCCGTTTATGCCTCTTTGTAATTTCTTTAGCCTTGCACTAGTTTCTTTGTATAAAACTGGAAGGTCAAAGAGGAGCTTAAGTTGGTGGTTCACCAAAATTCGAGGATTGTCATATGTAGAGAATAATGCACTCCCTGCTAGATAAAAGTGTTTGTGTGTAAGCGAAAACTTAGACACAATTTCATGGGCATCACCACTAGTTTTGTTATTTAAATGGCATAAACGCTCGATATCGCTTATACCGCTATTATTTATATATATGGCAGAAAATAAGTCCCTGAACGTAGGCCAGGAAAGAAAATCGCCATTGAATACTTCGATGTCACAGAATGGCAAATTTAACCTGTGACTGGAATTTTCATTTCCACAGGATGTCAAAGATGAATTTTGGGAAGTTTCCTTGCCTGTTGCAACATTTCACCGTGTTGCAAATTTTACGTTAATGTTAGTTATTTTCATGTGAGCTCGTGGAGCGTGATCGTGCTATGCCTCGAGGAGGAACTGATCGTCTCATGAAAACAATGGACAAAAAAATAAAAAGGTTTTTTCAATTTTTCATGCGAGCTCATAGAGCACGATCGTGCAATGCCCGAAAAGGAACCGATCGTAACATGAAAACTGAAAGAATGCGCTCGTAGAGCAAGATCGTGCAATGCCTCGAGAAGGTCCTGATCTTTTAAAGGTTGAACTCGTCGAGTCTAATGTGGCGAAACCACTGATCTCTCCTGGAGGAACTCTAGGGGCTGTCGAAGACGGATTTTTAATTCAAATTTCTCCGAGGGAGGTTCTGATTCATCCGTTGTGTATGCCGTGGGCTTCAGGGATCAGCGCAGCCATCAAATCGTTGTTCCTTATTGTATATGGGACGTAATCCGCACACCATCATCGCAACCATCATTCTAAATTTTCCAACTCATATGAAAAGTAGAGAGGAAGGGAAAATGTAAATAGGAACGAACATTGGTCAGAATGACCACAAAACCGTAGGTCGTTCGATACTTCGCGGCTGCAGCTCGGCCATTAAACTAAATTTTTTCCAAATTTGTAGTGGAAAAGTAGAGAGGAGGCCTAGACGTCGCGAAATATCGACTATAACTAACTCCGTAGGAGTGGGAAAGGAATTGAAATGGCCGTCGGACGAAAGTGCCGTTTTCAATATTAAATTTCGCTCCTCACATTCGGTTATATTTATGTGAATTATGGATCGGTGATCCAGCAATATAAATAATTATAGATGCGTAGCATCTGCTTCAAGATTTGGCATTCAAAATATGCAAGATAAACAATATGGGATGCCTTTGGGCAAATGAAGTACAGATGGCCGTATAGCGATTGTTTATGCGGATTAATTCATTTGCGCGACAATTGCGGAATGGTGTCACGTTTTATGGAAAATGATGGCAGATTTTCTGCAATTGTCGGCAGAACCAGAGTATTAGTTTTCATTGTCTGCGTAGCATCCAATGGAGAACTGATACGAACGGGACATTGTTTACGGGAAATTTGTGAAACGGACCCACTAACCCCCGAGATTGAAGCGTGTCTTTTTTGTATACGTTCAGAAACAAAAGGTGCTTCTGAAGCAGGATCTATTAAGGCTCTAGCTGGGTACGTAGTACCGTTGTGCACAATATGCACCATAGCTGTGCCTAACAATATTTTTCTGCTATGGTTGGAATGAAATACCTGTCGGTTTGAAGACCCTGTTATAGTATTGGTAGAAGTAGTAGGTAGAATTACCTGATCTAGACTTTTAACATTTGAAGTCGTCGGAGACGATTGAGGCGTGGCCTCGATGTGTAACAGCGTGTGATGCCGTTTATTGCATATAGTGCAGTTGTAAATGCTGCTGCATTTTGAAGATTCATGTCCGTGAGACAAACAATCAAGACAACAGAAGTGTTTCTTAACTGTGCGGATTCTTTCAGGAACTGAAAGTCTAAGGAATTTATGACAAATTCTTAGATGATGCCTTTGTCGTGAACAAAGCGCACATGATTTAGGCGAGGATGTACGAGGTAACTTAAAGAAATGAGGGACACTTTGGGCCGTGACGGAATTTGATGTATTCGTTGCACCATTCGTAGAAAGGGAACGTTTATCATTGTTTAGAAGTTCGACGTAATCGATGCCCCTAATGTCACGTAAGCAGGTCAGAGTTTGGATCCTTTCTGTAAGAAAGTGATCCAAATCTTTCCACGTAGACAAAGTAGATTTGTTCTTTATGCTTTGTTCTCAAAGCACCACGCAGTTCTTAGGTAACCTCTGAAGACACAGGAAAACTAGAATAGGATCCCAGTCTTTTGTCGACACATCATAATTAGACATGGACGGAATACACCCGTTTATGCCTCTCCGTAATTTCTTTAGCCCTGCACTAGTTTCTTTGTATAAAACTGGAAGGTCAAAGAGGAGCTTAAGTTGATGGTTCACCAAAATTCGAGGATCGTCATATGTAGAGAATAATGCACTCCATGCTAGATTAAAGTGTTTGTGTGTAAGCGAAAACTTAGACACAATTTCATGGGCATCACCACTAGTTTTGTTATTTAAATGGCATAAACGCTCGATATCGCTTATACCGCTATTATTTATATATATGACAGAAAATAAGTCCCTGAACGTAGGCCAGGAAAGAAAATCGCCATTGAATACTTCGATGTCACAGAATGGCAAATTTAACCTGTGACTGGAATTTTCATTTCCACAGGATGTGAAAGATGAATTTTGGGAAGTTTCGGATCGATGCGGAGCATTTGATACGGTCGCTGTATCCTCGGAACGAGGTATTGAAGCGTTACCTACATGAGATTTTGGTGTAATTACAGTAGGTGACTCAGGCGGAGCCCGTAGCGCGCCAAACTTTCTATTAATGGACGCTAAAACATTTAAAAAACATTTGTAGGCGACATCGTATTTGATGTCGGCGGCTGAAATGTCGTCCTCATTAGAATTTTTATCTTCATGTAGGTAATCGAGGCACTTTTCAAATTGGAATTTAACTTTATCCCATAGTGTTATACAGAAACTCGAAAATTTTCAATTTTTCTTTCAGTGTACTTTATATTGTTTACAATGTATCGTAAAATACACACAGTGCGTGGCAGGGTATTATAAATACCACTTACCGACAAAAAAATCTAAAAGAAATGTGTAAAAAGTCGAAAAACTCAAAAATGCGACGAAAATCACTGAAGCGATTTTAATATTTTAAAGAATTCATTAATCTTGCTTTGAAGAATATTGTTAGCCTGTCAAAATCTTTGTGTGGTGTAAACTGAAAAGTTTTTATGCATTGGTTGTTTATATCATGTAAGCCCAGCGTATAAATGCTAAACAAAGTGGGGCTTAGGCAGCTTCCTTGAGGTAGACCATTATTAATCTCTAGACTTTCATTTCCCATTATTAAGATCCTTTTTTAAGAAATTGGTGATCCACATAATTATATCACTAGGACAACAGAGCTTGTTCAAAATTTTGACAATAAATTCAATGTTAAAACAGTCATATGTCTTACTCACATCTAAAGATACAATGATGACTTTATCACCTTGCTCTTTATAATAATATATTGTATGTATCAAATCATTTATTCACATAGAGGCGGATAGATTTTTCCCATATGCATATGTGTTGTGGGGAAATATGTTATTTTGATCTAAAAAAGTCTGAAGTTTTTCCTTAACCATCGAGTTAATAATTTTGGCGAAAACTGTTTCAAAGCGATTGGCCTGTAGTTTGTGATTATTTTCATGTCTGTCTTGTTTTGGGATGGGGACAATTTTGATTTGTCTCCATTCCTCAAAGAAATGGCAATCTTTCCAATCATTGTTCATAGTTCTTAGTAAGTTATGTTTACCGTGTCAGACAAATGGTTAACCATTTCATAGGTAACGCCACATTTTCAAATTCTTTCTGTTGAAAAAATTGGCGATGTGTTTGAACTTGTACACGTGACTTGAATTGGAGCATTATTGGGAACTTGATCTCTAAGATGGATAAAAAACTGTTTATCATTTTCAGAAGGCCATTTTGTTTTATAAATGTGAGCGAACGAATTTAAAAAGTGCTTTAGAGTGTGGTTCGTTGTTAAGATCCTGAATTTTTGTTTTAAAGAACTTCGTTTTGGCAAATTTTACAGCATTGTTACAAAGCTTATTCAAATATAATTCAAGATAGTTCTTTTTGAGGCTTTGAATGATGTGTTGTAATATTTTCACATGACAGTATATCATTTGTTTTAATTTTTTTAATTTAAATTTTTTGAATTGAAGTTGGAGATTTGCTATTTCATTTGATATCATGTTATTTGTTGTGTTTTTTGCAGGACCTGGTAAGAGGGATTTTCTGAAGTTGTCTAATATGTCTAAACTTTCCGTGCAGTTCAGCGAGGTAAGTAACTGAGACATTTGTTTTGTAAAAATTGGCATTGTTTTTTCCAGTTCTTATACATTGGTAAAGGATTAGTGTCCATAAACAGGGATTGAAGGTGTGACATTGATAGGACTGGCTACTGGATGATTGATAATGGTACGAGGAGCTGCTATTTTGCTGTACTTTATTTTAGTCATTCTTCTGCAATTTCATCATTTAAGTTTCTTATAATACAATTAGAAGATTTACTCATTGGAAAAAATTGAGAATTGTAGTTGCCATCAGCCGAAATGTTGGTCAGGTTTGTAGGACTCCCTTTTCTGCTTAGATTTGAAAGAGTAATAAGCGATTTAACTTGTTTTTCAGATCTCCATCTTTCACATTTTCGTTCTTCCGTAGCATTACAAAAAAAAAAAAAAATAAATAAATAAAATAAAATAAATAAATAAATAAATTAATTAATTAATTTATTAAAATATTATATTTTTGTTTTGTTAAACGGATTCGATGTCTTTATTGAACTTTTCTTAAGAATATGGATTGTACCGTTCATGCTGTGGACCTTCACAGACAAAAATTTAATTTTTATTAGAATAAATCATCTTTTCTTAGCGAAATTGTACAAAAAGATAGCTGACATATTCGAAGCAAACAAAAAATTCTGTTAACATTTAGTTATAATTGTTTCATTTATAGGGTAAGTGTACCAGTAGTCGGCACTTTTAGGATTTTCGATTTTTCAATCTTTCAACATTTTGTGTAAAATCTTTCAAATGTAGAAAAATAAAGTAGTTCAGATTCCAAATTTTGTTTAGTTTTCGAAATAATGAACAAAAATCGAATTTGTTTTTATTAAATTGGCAGAATTTCAATTTTACTAAAATAGTAGCTTTTTGCCAGTTGCTAGTAGTCGGTATTTTTTATTTCAAATAGCATAAAACAATGCTAAATTTCGTTATAATTTATTAATTTCGATTTTAAATAGTGTATTATTTAATTATCATTCTAAACTAAATATAGGTAGAAAATCAAAAATAGTATGGTTACCTTCGTAACGTATGGATTTTCAATTAAAATAAAAATAAAATTAATTTTGTTTGCGTAGCAAAATGAAAATAAGGGAAATGGGAGAAAAATAAAAACACAATCAATTAATATAAGTGTTTGTTTTCTCTTTCGAGACGAGCTTAATGATCTGAAATTTGCAGTGAAAAGGAAAGCCAGATAGACACTATCACATACTCACCACTATGCGACGCGTTTCGCCGTTGGTTAAGCGGCTCATCAGGCATATTTGATGTGGATGATGGCTTACAAGGGCCGTTCTCTGGAAAGTAGTATATATTTCGAACTTATTGCAATTTAGCATATGCGAATTATACACTAGAAACTCTCCAGGCTCGACTCAAGTTCTATTGGTAAAAAAAAAAAAAAAAAAAAAAAAAAAAAAAAAAAAAAAAAAAAACGTTGCTGTGAAAAAAGATCTGCCAATAGACTGCAAATTTCAGATCATTAAGCTCGTCTCGAAAGAGAAAACAAACACTTAAATCATAAAACATATGATCTTCGCCATAACAAGGCAAAACTCAATTAATATTTTTTTTCCACTTAGCAGTGGACTGTATATTTTTCATAGGATGGCTGTTCGTGGAACAATACTACCTTCGTACAAAGGGTTTTTAGCAGTAGGACGTAATCCTATGTAGTCCTATGTAGTACTCGTAGAGTCGGTAGTTATTTTCATGTGAGCTCGTGGAGCGCGATCGTGCTATGCCTCGAGGAGGAACTGATCGTCTCATGAAAACAATGGACAAAAAAATAAAAAAGATTTTTTTCAATTTTTCATGCGAGCTCATAGAGCACGATCGTGCAATGCCCGAAAAGGAACCGATCGTAACATGAAAACTGAAAGAATGCGCTCGTAGAGCAAGATCGTGCAATGCCTCGAGAAGGTCCTGATCTTTTAAAGGTTAAACTCGTCGAGTCTAATGTGGCGAAACCACTGATCTTTCCTGGAGGAACTCCAGGGACTATCGAAGACGGATTTTTAATTCAAATTTCTCCGAGGGAGGTCCTGCTTCATCAGTTGTGTATGCCGTGGGCTTCAGGGATCAGCGCAGCCATCAAATCGTTGTTCCTTATTGTATATGGGACGTAATCCGCACACCATCATCGCAACCATCATTCTAAATTTTCCAACTCATATGAAAAGTAGAGAGGAAGCGAAAATGTAAATAGGAACGAACTTTGGTCAGAATGACCACAAAACCGTAGGTCGTTTTCCAACTGTATAGTTCGATGCTTCGCGGCCCTAACTCGGCCATTAAACTAAATTTTTTCCAAATTTGTAGTGAAAAAGTAGAGAGGAGGCGTAGACGACGCGAAACATCGACTATAACTAACTCCGTAGGAGTGGGAAAGGAATTGAAATGGCCGTCGGACGAAAGTGCCGTTTTCAATATTAAATTTCGCTCCTCACATTCGGTTATATTTATGTGAATTATGGATCGGTGATCCAGCAATATAAATAATTATAGATGCGTAGCATCTGCTTCAAGATTTGGCATTCAAAATATGCAAGATAAACAATATGGGATGCCTCTGGGAAAATGAAGTACAGATGACCGTATAGCTATTGTTTATGCGGATTAATTCATTTGCGTGACAATTGCGGAATGGTGTCACGTTTTATGGAAAATGATGGCAGATTTTCTGCAATTGTCGGCAGAACCAGAGCATTAGTTTTCATTGTCGGCGTAGCATCCAATGGAGAACTGATACGAACGGGAAATTTGTGAAACGGAACCACTAACCCCCGAGATTGAAGCTTGTCTTTTTTGTATGTGTTCATAAACAAAAGGTGCTTCTGAAGCAGGATCTATTAAGGCTCTAGCTGGGTACGTAGTACCGTTGTGCACAATATGCACCATAGCTGTGCCTAACAATATTTTTCTGCTCTGGGTGGAATGAAATACCTGTCGGTTTGAAGACCCTGATATAGTATTGGTAGAAGTAGTAGGTAGAATTACTTGATCTAGACTTCTAACATTTGAAGTCGTCGGAGACGATTGAGGCGTGGCCTCGATGTGTAACAGCGTGTGATGCCGTTTATTGCATATAGTGCAGTTGTAAATGCTGTTGCATTTTGAAGATTCATGTCCGTGAGACAAACAATTAAGACAACAGAAGTGTTTCTTAACTGTGCGGATTCTTTCAGGAACTGAAAGTCTAAGGAATTTATGACAAACTCTTAGATGATGCCTTTGTCGTGAACAAAGCGCGCATGATTTAGGCGAGGATGTACGAGGTAACTTAAAGAAATGAGGGACACTTTGGGCCGTGACGGAATTTGATGTATTCGTTGCAGCATTCGTAGAAAGGGAACGTTTATCATTGTTTAGAAGTTCGACGTAATCGATGCCCCTAATGTCACGTAAGCAGGTCAGAGTTTGGATCCTTTCTATATGAAAGTGATCCAAATCTTTCCACGTAGACAAAGTAGATTTGTTCTTTATGCTTTGTTCCCAAAGCACCACGCAGTTCTTAGGTAACCTCTGAAAACACAGGAAAACTAGAATAGGATCCCAGTCTTTTGTCGACACATCATAATTAGACATGGACGAAATACACCCGTTTATGCCTCTTTGTAATTTCTTTAGCCTTGCACTAGTTTCTTTGTATAAAACTGGAAGGTCAAAGAGGAGCTTAAGTTGGTGGTTCACCAAAATTCGAGGATTGTCATATGTAGAGAATAATGCACTCCCTGCTAGATAAAAGTGTTTGTGTGTAAGCGAAAACTTAGACACAATTTCATGGGCATCACCACTAGTTTTGTTATTTAAATGGCATAAACGCTCGATATCGCTTATACCGCTATTATTTATATATATGGCAGAAAATAAGTCCCTGAACGTAGGCCAGGAAAGAAAATCGCCATTGAATACTTCGATGTCACAGAATGGCAAATTTAACCTGTGACTGGAATTTTCATTTCCACAGGATGTCAAAGATGAATTTTGGGAAGTTTCCTTGCCTGTTGCAACATTTCACCGTGTTGCAAATTTTACGTTAATGTTAGTTATTTTCATGTGAGCTCGTGGAGCGTGATCGTGCTATGCCTCGAGGAGGAACTGATCGTCTCATGAAAACAATGGACAAAAAAATAAAAAGGTTTTTTTCAATTTTTCATGCGAGCTCATAGAGCACGATCGTGCAATGCCCGAAAAGGAACCGATCGTAACATGAAAACTGAAAGAATGCGCTCGTAGAGCAAGATCGTGCAATGCCTCGAGAAGGTCCTGATCTTTTAAAGGTTGAACTCGTCGAGTCTAATGTGGCGAAACCACTGATCTCTCCTGGAGGAACTCTAGGGGCTGTCGAAGACGGATTTTTAATTCAAATTTCTCCGAGGGAGGTTCTGATTCATCCGTTGTGTATGCCGTGGGCTTCAGGGATCAGCGCAGCCATCAAATCGTTGTTCCTTATTGTATATGGGACGTAATCCGCACACCATCATCGCAACCATCATTCTAAATTTTCCAACTCATATGAAAAGTAGAGAGGAAGGGAAAATGTAAATAGGAACGAACATTGGTCAGAATGACCACAAAACCGTAGGTCGTTCGATACTTCGCGGCTGCAGCTCGGCCATTAAACTAAATTTTTTCCAAATTTGTAGTGGAAAAGTAGAGAGGAGGCCTAGACGTCGCGAAATATCGACTATAACTAACTCCGTAGGAGTGGGAAAGGAATTGAAATGGCCGTCGGACGAAAGTGCCGTTTTCAATATTAAATTTCGCTCCTCACATTCGGTTATATTTATGTGAATTATGGATCGGTGATCCAGCAATATAAATAATTATAGATGCGTAGCATCTGCTTCAAGATTTGGCATTCAAAATATGCAAGATAAACAATATGGGATGCCTTTGGGCAAATGAAGTACAGATGGCCGTATAGCGATTGTTTATGCGGATTAATTCATTTGCGCGACAATTGCGGAATGGTGTCACGTTTTATGGAAAATGATGGCAGATTTTCTGCAATTGTCGGCAGAACCAGAGTATTAGTTTTCATTGTCTGCGTAGCATCCAATGGAGAACTGATACGAACGGGACATTGTTTACGGGAAATTTGTGAAACGGACCCACTAACCCCCGAGATTGAAGCGTGTCTTTTTTGTATACGTTCAGAAACAAAAGGTGCTTCTCAAGCAGGATCTATTAAGGCTCTAGCT